CGTCACCAGGAATTCGAAGCGATACGCTCCGTCTCGTGACCTCCCCGCGGAACTTTGGGGACGACTTCTCGAAAAGAATCTCGCGGCGCCTATAACTTGCGGCTAACTGACGTTAAAGACGATTTAAAGACATTAATCTGGATTTATTTAGCAATATTAACAATATTAAAAACAAGTCAACAACAATTAGTGACGAAAGTTTTGTGTCTCGTGACTTTTATTGAAAATCGCATTATTAAGCTGCTCTTTCACGTACAATCGACGAACGCTTGAGATATTTTTGGTTTAACATAAATAATTGCTGTATACAGATTTATTTATATGAGTCAAAGGTGAAAATAATAATTACTAAATAACGACTTTTTAATAATTTATATTAAAATGACAAATATATCAGCTTGTTTATTACATTGAAAACTATTATTATCGTCTTCTTTATACACGATAAAATATATGTAAAAATTCTCGCGAAAAGAAAATTTCTTCGATCAAGTATTTCGCTCTCTTCGAAAATGATGTTGATAATAAAATTATCGAGTACATGTCCAGCTTCGGTCTCGATTTGATTTTTACGGTTGTACGGCGTGTCGTAGCGATGACGATGATCGCGACGACATCAAGTGATGACGACTGTACGACCCGGCCAACGGCGGCACCGTCGAGACAGCCGATCGGGCACAACAATGTCCGCGCGGCGCGTGCTCATAAAAATAGCATTTTCGCGGTTTCTCCCTCCTTACGGCTATACTTAGCCCCGGGCACCGGTGTCCCTCGGCGTAGTAAACAAATTTCAGGAGGGTCGGTCCTCGTGTAACGAGAAGCGCCGCGCCGTCCGTATATTCCTCACTCACTCGCCCGTCTATTTTTTTTTCTTTTTCAGCGCGTGTCTTAAATATTTTTAGAGGTAGCGTATTGTGAATTTTTGCCGTGTCGGTTCGAGAAAATATTCCACATATAATTATGTCGTAACGTACGCGGAGCGCGATAGCGCTGTCCCGAATTCGCTATTCATCCTTTTAACATTGAAAGTCGAATTAAGAGAAATTTGGTGAGATTAATTTCAATGTAAATTCGCATGTAAATTGTACTTCAAACAATAATGTACTTTAATATATTTTTTTAGAAATTTTGAAATTGGGAGATAATCTAGAAATGAACGATTGAAAGTAAAAAGATGTTAATGAGTCAAATTTCGAGATTATAGAGAAACAAAATTTCAGTTAATTTCGAGTGGAGTTTAATAGTTATTTGGAGCTTAACAGCTATAGCTTCTCTCTCTCTCTCTCTCCTCCCTCCTCTTTTTCTCTCTCTCTCTCTCTCATTTTTCTCTTTATATTTCCTCCGTTACACTTTTAGATCAGTCACTCCCATCTAGACGCTCGTATTTCTGTGTTTCTTCGCTCTATGCAGATGGCTTGCCGTGTCACCTTTATTATGCCCAGGGATTAGTTATTTAAGCTATTTTACTGCTAGCGAGAACGAACGGTGCATAAGCATTTGAAATATAAAGCACGCGAAAGCGATCGATTCTTTTCGTATCGCATTTCCAGAATTGGAGCGTTGATTAATGAATGAATATCGAAAATGTGGTAACCCATTAGAGATGAAAACCGAAAACCGAGCTTCGCTGTATTGAGATAATATAATGATATTTTGTGACGTATAAATGATGCTTACTTAAGAGATATTTTCTTGTAGCAAGAAAATATCTAAGAATTTAACACAAATTATAATATAAAAATAGCTACATACCTTCGATAGATTTATTTTAGTGATTATTTAATCGATAAATATTTACTACGTTTACGCGAGCGTTACTTCTGTAGTAACTTACGATAATTTACTCGTTTACGCGGAGTAAATTATCGTAAGTTACTACAAAATCCCGTTTACACGAAGGAATTATCGTAAGTTACTACAGAAGTAACGCTCGCGTAAACGTAGTAATTATCACATGTCTCAGTGGTCGAATTGGTAAAGACGCCCGTCTCAGAATGTAGGGAAGATCAAATTCAAACCCTCGCTGCGATGATATTTTTCGCAATAAATTTGTTACAGTGATTTAATAAGAATGCTTATTAGCATTAAAATTTAAATTGATTATCGATTTAAATACGTGGATTTACTGTTCCAACAAAGAATGGTGTTTTGAAGATCGATAAAAAACTGACAGTTTATTGAGTTTAGAAAAAGTATACAAAATTCACACAACATTATTATTATACACGGGCAAAATTTTATATTGATTTATAATACAATTTTAAATTACATTTTACTATTTTTTATATTATCGGTGAACCATCATGACTTTGTAGAATAAATTATAGTACAACATAGTAAAATTTAAAACTAACACTTACCTAACATGTTTTATCACTTGCCATAATAAAAATTCGTATAATGAGAGAAAAATTCAGATTTTTTTCTGATCAAAATAATCAGATAATCCGTCTGAAAATTAGCAGACGAATATTAACGATCTTTTTCGAACAGCTAGGTTAGCACCCGATAAATCCGCTCTCTCAGCCGGTCACCCATCCAACTATATAGTAACCGCCGCGCCCGACGTTGCTTAACTTCGATGATCGAACACGCTAGCAGCGATCCTCTGACTCTGATGCTTCTTTCTTTCTTATACTTGTATACAACACATCTTTACAGGGTTCAAAAATCTTGAAATTATTTATTAACTATCAAATATTTAAAATAATGCAACAACAATACAGTGATGTGCAATGAATATTAATCTTATCGAGCATAAACGATTTTGTCGAATAATTAAACGCGGGAGTCAAAGCTAGAAGCGTAATATTATACGCCATTTGGTTTTTAATCGTTTTTAACTTTGAGAGAGAGAGAGAGAGAGAGAGAGAGAGAGAGATTTAATTCATTAAATAAATATAGTATAATAAAGTTAATGAGAATAATGAGAACGCCTAAAGGCACTACCTGATGGACACAAGGTGAAGATTTTATTTAATGAACCAAATTAAAGTTAAAAACGATTAAAAATCAAATGGCTTGGAGCTTGGATACATGTGTATTATAGCTTTGACTGCCGCGTTTAATTATTCGACAAAATCGTTCATGCTCGACAAGATCTTGCAAACTATGTTTATCGCTTTCTCTTTTCCCTCGAGTTTTTAACAATAAGTTACCGAATTTGAAAGGTTTACATGACTTCGATGTAATTTTTACTATGACAACACTGCTTTTTACCATATAAATAAAATAACTTTTGCTCAAACTATATTCTAAAGTGGAAAGAGTTAATTTTTACTATGGTGTACAGTAAAAATTTATATGGTATATTTTTTAACTTTTCTTTGCAATACTAACTTTTATTCAACAAGTTTTTGCTGTGTAATATAAAAATTTGTATTATGAGAAAATGTAAAAATTGCGTTGCTATATTGTTTTTAAAACAATGACTATAGCATTTAAATTTATAACTCCTTGATGGTCCGTAGTTAGTATGACATCACAGTAATATTTAATATAAAATTTTCTTCGTGTATAGGCTACTAAGATCCAGTCAAGATCGTAAATGTGGTGTTTTTTCCTTTAATTGATTGTACATCATATCGGTTCCTTTTCACTTATTATTATTGATTATTTTAACTTCTGTTATTTTCTCGAGGTGAATTCTCTATAGTGAGCCTTACAGGAAACGTATGTTTGTTATTTACATTGAGACACACGCGCGCATGCATTATTACACCTATGCTTGCGCTCGTTATTGGACTATTTAACCCTTCTGTTCCCGACGGGGTAATTGCGTCCCGTGAATAATTGGTGGCAAACGATACACGTGAATTTGGTATTGATCATGTTATGTTAACATCTCACGTTAACTAACTGACTACCAGACAAGTCAAAAATATATCTTAATATTACCTTGTTCATCATATATTTTATAATTAAATATTAAAATCAAATTGTAGTAAAATTTAGTTGTGAATATAATTGAATAAAGAAAGAATATGATTTTGTTATTTACTAAATTTGTATAATACTAAATTTACAGTTTGATAATTTTTTATGTTATATATGTATATAATTACAATAGAAAATTAAAATACAACTTAACATAAAAATTCGTTTATTTAACTATTACTAGATATTAAATAAAATGAATTAAATTTTAAGAAGAAATAAAGATAGATTTGTTGATAAAATTTTGATGAAAACATATTAAAAAATAATATTTATGAGATAAATAAATAAAAAAAAGCAAAATTATATATACGAATTTTATATTAAAATAATTATTTTATATTAAATTCAATTAAATTGAAAAATTATAAAAAGGAAGAAAAAATAATAAAAGATGCGCGTTTTTACAGAAATAAAATATCCATCTAACAAAGAATTAGTTAGAAAGATCTATCGATCCAGTCATGTTCAGGTTCGAAATTTTTTGATTGTTTCAGATTGCGCTGTAGTCCTCTGAACGCTATTTGGATAGCGTCTATAGGCAGCGAGGACGCGGAGAAGGAAACGGAGGCGTGAAGCGTGCGAGCAGAAGATGCCGTGTGTCGCAGCCGGACAACGTCGATGCGCCGAGCATCATCGGGACGCGAATCGCGGCACCGACTGTTCACGGGGGGCGCGATGATGGCGGAATGCCCGTGGACAGGGTGCGCATTATCGTCCGGTCCGTCGATCGAGTATACAGTGGAGTCGATCGCCCATCGCGGCGGCAACAGGGGCAGCAGCAGCAGCAGCAGCAGCACGTGTCTAGGACGCGCGACGGGATAATAAATGCCAGAACGGCACGACGCCGGCACGAGCCGAGGTGGATCAAACGTGGGGACGCGAAACACAATCGTCGAATGCGGGCAGGTGTTCGAGGAGGACCGCTGGATCGCGTGGTTGCGTGTAAATCGCGAGGAAGACGAAGGGGAGGAGGAGGAGGAAGGGGAAGAAGAGGAAGAAGAGAAGATAAAGAGCGACGACAAGGTTCACCGTCGCGAGCGGATCGCGGACAGCCGGATTGAACGGCCGCCTCGCGGATTCTCATCGCACGGCAGGGGGTAGCGGGAGCCACCACGGGGGCGGGGGTGGGCTTGCCCCTGCTTCTTCTCGTTGTTGCTCTTCTTGACGATCTCACGCACGCGACGACGGCCGCGCCGGTGGTACTCGAATCATTGAATAGCGTCGAATACCCAGCCGACGTTACTACGCTCGTTTACCTGCCATCGCGATCGTACGATTATCCGTTCGCGCCGCGCCCGTTCCGGAGGGCGATTAAGCGCGCGTCCAGTCCTAACGACGTCGGTGCCGAAGGTCACGCGAATCAGGGAACTCTGGATCATCTTACATTGGCGACGCGCCTTTCACCTTCGTCCGCGCCGCCCTTGACGTCACCCCTGTCATTAACGTCGCCGTTATTGTTGACACCGCCGCTGTCGTCGTCGTTGTCGCCTCCGACGTTATCGAGTCCGTCGCCGTCTTTAACGCCGTTGAATACCGTCGTCGTCGTCGTCAGACATCGAGATATTTCCGTTCTAACGACGCCGAGTCATGACAACGAGAACGAAGGGATCGCAGCGCGACGAGGAAGAGCGAAGCGAGCATCGATAAGCAAGAGATCGAAGCTGAAAGATCAACCCTCCCCGAACTTCATCGACCCTTGGCCGCTGGAGGCATGGCGACGTGTTAACGAACACCCTCCGCAATCTCGCAAAGTGGAACCCGTCCCGTCAATCGATGAAGGGATTCGCCCTGCAGTCCAGACTTTCACTCCGCTGTTAGAACCTGTCTTCAAGTTTGGGGAATCGATATTGCGTCCGGAGAGCTCCCTGCGAGATATCCTACTTCACGAAAGTGCTTCGAAGACAACGGCGACGACGACGACGGCGGTGGTGGCGACGGCGGGAACGATCGCGCGGAACATCGCGTACCTCGGTGTGACTCAACGAGCCGGAAGCATCGTGCCCGAGAAAAATGATGTCGACAGAGTGACCGAAGACCGAGTGGAAGGTGATAAGAGCGGTAAGAAGTTGGTGCTCGTGGGAAACGAGAATAATGGTGCGGTCGTAGGTGGTGGTGGTAGTAGTGTCATCGAGTGGACCACGACAACAGTCGCCGGGCCGATGTCATCGTCGCGGTCGGCGTTCTCCGGAGACGATGTGCAGGTGGCCGAGCGTGTAAGGGTGCGCGCGAGTTCCGAGCGAAGCTCATCGAAGGGCGAGGAAGACGACGAGGAGCAGATTAAGGTCACCATCGCGCGCGACAACGAAGATTCGTTTACATCGTCGACGTCGACGACGACGACGACGACGACGACGACGCAGCATCCACCACTGACTCAAGACACCTCTATGGAAGCACGTAAGTGTTGAATGAATAAGATAAACGTCACATTTAACATTGAAAGGATATATGGCACGTAAAACTAACTTTTCGAAAAATTAAAAAGAAAATTGCGTCTTGTACAGAGAAATACAATAGAGTTTTTTTCCATAAAAAATGAGATATATTATCTACTTTATTTAAAATCTTGTATAATTGTGCCTAGAAATTTTCAATATATAGAATAAAATATACGCGTTATAGAACCATATATCCTTTGAACATGAGTGGGCTATTTGTACTTGAAACATTTATAAAATCTCTTTAGACAATTCTATAAATTGAATCAAATTCCATTAATTAAATCGCAACATTTTTATTTACTGAACATTAAAATTATATACTGATAATGAAAGATATTAGAAACTTAAAATATCTGCTAGATATTATAATATATACATTTGAAGAAATGCTTTTCTAATTGTTTCAAGTTATATTACAATCGCAAATTTGTTTAATCGCGATACGTAAACTTTCGTCAGCAACAAATTTTGTAAAATATCACCCCCGTTCGTTTTCAAATTAAAAAAACAAGAAACATCTTTCGAGATGTCTTTTGAAAGTCGCCATTCTATGCAAAGCAACAAGGAGATCTTTCATTCTGATCCTTTAAATGCGTCTGAATGAGACTCGCGCGCACATCTTTTCGCTGGTTTACCGCCTCGCTAAAATCCCTCTGGATCACCGGTTCGCATAGCGCCATGCTCGTTTTGCCATGCTCGAGCTCGTGTTTACAGGAACCGCAGGATCTTCGGTCAGAGTTATTTTTAACTATTCCAACCGTGCGCGCGGGCCACCTTCCCCATTCCGGTCCTCCTTTGCGCTTCTTTTTTTGTTTTGTATCTTCTCGTGTGCATCACCTTACGCTACCTTTCGTTTAGGACGACCAGAACAGAAATCGGAGCACCGTTCACGTCCATATTTTCGGCCGGACTGAAAGAAAGGAGGCAACTTCTTCGAATTTACTAATCTCCTTTTCTCCCTTTGTTTTACAAATAAACTTTTTTTTTGTTTTTTTATCGTGCTCTTTATCGTGAAGTGAAAATACTTTCTCTTGTGCGCGTAGAGGGTGATAAATTTTCAGATGAGACACTTTATCCATTATATTCAATTAAATCTTTATTATGAAACAATAACCAATAATGATTATATTTCTTAATTCTTTTATTGTTAATACAATTTTCATCAATATTGATATCAAAACCGGATATTTTCGTATATCAGTTAAGTAATAAATACAATATGTTCGATGTAAAGAGTGAAAAAACTTTCCACAGACTTAATCTGTTTTGTGCATAAACACGATAAATTTATCATGCGTCATCACAGGTTAGATTAAGACTAAGATAAATGTGACGTAAAGATTAGTGTGCCAATGAAAAAGGCAGAGAGAGAGAGAGAGAGAGAGAGAGAGAGAGAGAGAGAGAGAGAGA